GGAAACTGAGTATTGCTTGAACAATGGTTTTATCTTAGCACTGGCATTGAATTTCAGCTAAATAAAGCCTCACCTAATGGGTTGTTTAGGTGTTAACCCTTGTAGTTGCCTCATTGCGAATACCTTTATAAAAGATGCTCTTTAGTAGTTGCTTTTGAAAGTCGTAGCCAACCTTGTGTTGTGAGAAAACACTGAACCCCTTTTCATCAGTGTTCAGTCTTGCATAAAACAAATACAGCACAAACTATTTAGTGCCTCCAAGTAACAAATACAGTGGGAGAGAGAGAGGCTGACAGTTAAAGTACTTGGCTGTGTGTTATATTTGCGGTGGTACCAGTTTGCTGTGTTAATGCTGTAGTAATTTCATCTGTTTAGGTAGATGTCATGAAATAAACTGAAAATAGAAGCAAACTATTCATATGAATGTTTCCTGGGATGATTAGCAGATAACAACCTAACATGTTTGCATTTGCTTTTTGCAGTTGCTTGTAGATTCTGGGCTGAAAGATTTTTTGCTTGTCCTGGGTACCAGGGCAGGGATTTTGTATGTGGTGAAGTTTGCCTTTCCAGAGCTACTGATTTTTCAGGAAGTGCATTTAAATCCTTCTTTAACTTTAGAGGGAATCTCAAGCTGCTGTTTTAATAGGAAAGGTGACTGTAAAAAACCCAGTGTGACTCCATGGGGGTTCCATCAGTGTCCCCTATATCAGCTGTGCTTATTTTACAAGTAGGAGGTATCTTTGACATTTTGCTGCTGCTATAAAGTCAGTGCAGTAATAGTGCAAAGACCCGTGCTCTCTCTGGGTTGTTAACCATCGTTAGTCTTAATGGCTCTTCAGTTTGCCAAATGTTTTATTGATAGTGATGGTCAGACTGAAAGCCAAACAAATTTTTGTGCCAAATATGAAAGCAAAGGCTGGCAGTTGGGGGAATCATAGTTTTACTGCAGCTGACTTCTTGAAATGTTTAGAGTTCAAACATGATGTCGCACAGTGACAGCCAGTTTCATCATCCGTATCAAGTTGCAGTTGTATTTAGCAGTGCTTCAGATCTTCTTTGGTGTACTTCTCTGGTGTACTTCTCTTAAATGTGCAGGAGTAAACCAGAGAAACTGAACTCAAAACCCTGAAGAGCTGATTGTTTGCTTAGGAGATTCCAAGGACCTGGATTTCTTAAGCTGCTTGTACCGTGTATTTCCGATGCACTCTTTGCTTTGTTCTTTTTTCCTGTAGCACTAGTAAATAAAATTGTGCTTTTCATGGTAGGCAGCGCAATGGGAATAGATTAACGATCCCAAAGACTGACCCCACTGACATTGATTATTCTGTTGTGTCTTTGCTACCATGGGTACAGTTTTGCTGCAGTCCAGTTGGATTGTTCTGTCTTTACTGGTTGAGTGAGCCTACAATTTAGCATCAGGGTGTCCAGGACGCCTCTATTTTACTTGTATCCAAAGGCAAGTGGTATTAGGAGGCAGCTTGTATCTGAAATAGTACAGGCTGGTTCAGTAACCACTTATTTTTGTGCTTTGACTTCATGGTTGATATAAAGATATACTTTGATCCACGTTTTTCAGGGTGTACAGGCAATCAAGAGGCTGACTTCGGAAAAGTATTGAAGACTGGGCTTTTCGAGTGCTTACCTGCCTTGTTTGAGATTAGGTTTTTGAAAGTACCTGGTGGCTTTTGCTGTCCGCTCTTGGACTGAGGTTTCCAGTGTCTGCAGCTCTGAGCTCTTCTAACCCTCTCAGCTTGGCTCGCTGTGGTGAGCTTTTTCAGTGTCCAGACTTTGGAAATGAGATCTGCTGTGAAAAGACATTGCACAGAGGTCGGTGCTGTTGGATGTATACTTCTGCAGGCCATGTGCCAAAATGTTCGCGTGCATCTTTGAGACTTGGTGTGCTTTATGCATAGCTATTAAACTCCAGGTGGCACTAGCAGCTCACAGCTGGGTCAGGGATTATGAACACTTGTGCAGTCCCTGAAAGTATCACAGAATTCAAATATTGGCTATGGGAAGATTAAAAATTAGTTTGCACAATAGCAGATTATTCTTATTAAGCAGAATAAATACAATGACCGAAATGAGGCAAAGTGAAGTACGCTAAACTTTCTTGCAGTTCCTTAGAAAATGTCTGTATAAATAAGCAGTGAATACACAGTTAAAGGGGAAGAATCCAGGAAGCAGGAGATACTGAAGTCCCACAGTGTGGAAGCTGCCAAGAGCTGGTTGTGAGCTGACTGCAATACTGAATTGCTGGCACAGATGTAGCAGCTTATTGGGAGCAGAGTAGATGGTGAAAGCTTGGTTTTGCAGGCCTGATTCTTCCCTTGTGTAGTTACTGGAGGTGGTAGAATTACCCCGTGTATAATAGAGGAAAATAGGCATTTATATTTGAAGGGCATCTATTTTTTTGGAGGGGTTTTGGAAGGGCTTTGGAGAGTATTGGTCTTTTGAAATTAAGTTTATTAAGCTGGAACAAAATACAACTTATATTCAGGCAAGGATAAAATTTGCTGTCCTTTCTTTGTAACATGATGCTCTCCCCGTGCAAGGGGATAGCTTATACAAATGGAAATGTGGAGAATGAAATGTGCCTGGAATGACTGAAAGAGCAACTCAATAAAACACCAATGGAAAAAAAAATCTGGTCTGTAGCAACTTGTAGTTCCCTTACACTTTATGTATTTGTTCTGGGTATTTGA